TGTACACGAATGTTTATAGCAGCATTATTCACCATCGCAAGAACACGAAAACAGCTCAGATGCCCAACCACAAATGAATGGATTGAGAAGTTGTAGTACGTGGTTGGTTGTTGTTGTTTTATTATTAATTTCAATGAAAACAACAACAACCAACCAACCAAAACCAAACCATTATTGGACGAGGGTGGTGGTGGTGTTAATCATAGGGTTGTACAACTTGATGAGTGGGTAGGTGAAGGAAATGGGAAGGATCTTTTGTGAGAAATTATGTATTCAAACTTTGTTAATAAATCTGTATCAATTTAAAAAAAAAAAGAAAAAGGAAGTCCCAAGCTTTCCCCTTGATGCAGATAGAGAGCAACATTCAAGGCCATAGTACCTGAATGGCAGAACATGGGATGAGGGATGGGGGAACCAGAACAACAGTTTTTACCAGAGGGAAAATTACAATAGCAGAAAGGGGTAGGAAAGGAGGATACAGAGAAATAGCAAACATATGGAGGAAGTGGGAAGAATGCTGTTATATTGAGGGAATTGTCATCAATAATATGAAATGTATTTTAATTTTTTAATGGAAAACCAACTTGTTTTGTAAACCTTCACTCAAATAATATTTAAAAAGGTTTTGTAATACTGTGTTGCATTGGACTTAATTCTTTAAAGTAGTAAAAAAAAGTCACTTTGAGGGCTAAGGTATACCTAACTGTAGTCGTAATGTATAACAGATTATGATTAACATTGAGAAAATGAGAATCCCAAACCCTTGATTGTGCTCCTGCAAAACTACACGTAGACCAAGAGGCAGTTGTGTGAACAGAGCAAGAAAACATTTCGTGGTTTAAAATCAAGAAAAATGTTCATCGGGGCTGTATCTTCTTTCCATACTTATTCAATCTGTATCCTGATTGAATCATTTGAGAAGCTGGACTTTATGAAAAAGAATCTGACATCAGGGTCAGAGAGTCACCAACAACTTGCATTTTGTGGAAGACACATAATAACTTTGCTTACTGAAAATGAAGAGGACTTGAAACAGTTTCAGAAGATCAACAATTACAGCTTTCAATATGTATTATAATTCAACCTCAAGAAAACAAAATGTCCTCACCACTGGGCCAATAATCTTAATGTTAATAAGAAGGAGAATTAATGCCTTTGAGTTGTGGTGTTGGAGAAGAGTATTGAATATACCATGGACTGCTAAGAAAACAAACAGATTCACCCTGGAGAGGGTTAAACCAGTCTGCTCCTTGGAGGCAAAATTTCCGAAGCTTCATCTGACATACTTTGGACATGTTGCAAGGAGGGACCAGTCCTTGGAGAAGGATGTCATGCTTGGGAGGGTGGACTGACACAGTGACTGCAGCAATGGGCCTAGACGTAGCAATAACTGTGGGGATCACTCAGGACCAGACAGAGTTTTGAGCTCTTGTACATGTAGATGCCAAGCTGGAACTGGCTCAATGACACCTAACAGCAATAACATAAAAGCCTTAACATCTTGTTTTAAGAATTTTGGGTTGTTAACATTTTTTCTCTTAAAATAGTGTGAAAAAAGTAGAAAATAGAAACAACATAAATATTAATCAACAAATAAATGGACAAACAGAACATGTCATATACATATAATGGAATATTATGAATCCACAAGGAGAAATGAAATTCTGGTACAGGTTACAACATGAATAAATTTTGAAAACATTGTGCTAAACTAAATAAGTGAGATGCAAAATGACGTTGTATGAGTCCACTTATATGAACTATCTTGATTAGACAAATGTGTAGAGTAAAAATTTATTAGTGGTACCACGAAATGTGAGGAGAAGGAAATGGTAATTATTGTTGAAAGGGACCTGAGTATCATTAACAGGGAATTAAAACCTTTTAAAGGGAAATGGATAGTGGTGAGGGTAGCCTAATACATTGGACATAAGTGGTGTCAATGACAATACACAAAAGCAGTTGAAATGAAATAATAAAAAACTACCAGACTTGTAGAGACTGGTGGAACACCTGAGACACCTTTAAATAATACACACACACACACACACACACACACACACACACATCCATACAGTGGAGACCTGAAAAGATGGGGTAAGAATGGGCATAGGTCAATGGTGATTAATTTTATAAGACAGTGTATAGGAAAGACCATATGAAATACAATGTAAATGAAGGAATGTGTGAAACACAATATACATGAATGAAACACAATGTATATGAACTCTGTATAAAAACCAATATAAAATTAAAAAATATATCTATAAAGTGAACAGTAATAAAAGGAAGGATATACTCCTCAAAATAATCAACCAGAAGAAACCTAAAATTTCCCAAAAGGAAAGCTAAAAAAATAAAAAAGGTTAGGACAGATGGGCAAATGGAAATAATAATCCCAGGTAACTGGAAATGTGTTTCATTGAGGAGATTGTCACTTATGTCACAAAACAAAATATTTATACATTGCTGAATGGAAAGCTAATTTGCTCTGTAAACTTCCACCCAAACCATAATAAGATGTTAAAGAAATGTATGCTGGAAAGTGCATCAGTGAATGAATGGAAATCCAGTCTCTGTAAACTTTCATTAAAATTAATTAAAAAAAAAGAGTGGGCTAAATAAAAAGAAAAGAAAGAAAGAAATGTAGGCTGAAATAAGAAAACTAAAAAAATCGAAGAAATGACAAACTTTTCAAATTATAGTGAAAGCCATAAATTGCATAAGGTAGAAATCTATCAGAGTAGAACACAAATATTTTGCACTGAAATCGGCAATATAAAAAATGGTAAGATGTAAAATTTTCAATACCCAGAAAAGCAAGCCATTTCCATCAATTTCTGGCTCAATATATAGACTGGTCATGGCAGACTTGAGATTCAAGTTCTCAAATCTGAACACTGAGACACCACACTATTGTTGTGTACCATAGAGTCAGAACTGACCCCTAGCTGACCCTCCAGTTGGTTTTCAGAGGCAGTTAATCGCAGTTGGTGGTCTCGAATTGCATGCCTTCTTGATTGCATTTTGACTTCTTGCCACTAGGTCATCAGAACTCCCAAAGATCACATTATTCAACCTGTTTATTTTTAAAAATCATCTTAGGTAGTGGTCTGTGACAGTATCTGAATCCTCTCTATGGCCAATTTTACTCACTGCCCTTTATTATAAAGGTGGCAGGATAGTTAATGAGTAATCTGCCTCCTTCTATGTTGTTATCTGCCGTGGAGTCGAGTATGACTCAGCAATCCTATGAACAACAATTTATCTGAACCCTATCTTATCTTGTGTCATCCTCCTCATCTATGACATATTTGAGCCCATTACTGCGGTTACTGTGTTAATGTATCTTGTTGAAGGTCTCCCCCTCTCTTTCACTGATCCTCCACATTTCCAAGCATGAGATGAAGCTTCACCATCCTTTCCTCCAAGGAGCACTCTGGCCACACTTTCTCCAAGACCTATTTGTTCTTTTGGCAGTATTCTTCAACACCACTGTACAAAGGCATCAATTCTTCTAATTGCTTACAAAGACTAAATTTCTACAGGTTGAACATATACATCTTGAAGGCTTTTGAAAAAACATATCCAAATGGATGCTATACCAATTTATACTGCCACCAACCAGCATTTTGAGAGTATCTTTTCCCCCATATTCACTAATACAATGGGATGGGAGAGAGAAGCAGATCTTCTCCTATACGAATCTCAACATCACTCCCAATTATCTCACCCCATAATGGTCCCACACAATCAATCTTATAAATATGACAGGAGCAATGAAAATTATTCTATGACTGTATTTTTTTATGGTTTCAGTTGAGTAAATTATCTACTGTCTTAAGACTCAACTACATAAACACCCTAGTTAGTTAAGAAACATTTTCCTCTCCTAAAATTCCTGTTCACAAAAATGTCCTTTTCTGTATGCCTCCAGCGGTTTCCAACACTTACTGTTTTTCTTTTTCATAGGTTTTTAAATAATGTAATTTTATTCAACTAAAATTAACCAATGATTTCAGTCTTTGTCCAATCCCTTATCCATAGGTCATGGCTGTGACCCTGCTTCCAGAAGTCAAACATTTCAGCTTGATTTGTTGGTCTTTCACTCCATCCTCCCTTCACAATTGTGGGCCATTGGCGAGAGTTCATGCCTCATTATATCATGCCTAGACTATTTTATAATTGTTTATTAAGTGCAGCAACATTTTAACTGGTGTTCCAAACTCCAGTCATTACCTTTCTCCCCATCCCACATCCTTCACACATATATTGTTCTTATATAGCTATTTCTCTGGTCACCTTTGGTGGCTCCCAAAGAATAGCATTCAGACACTTCAGTCATAACAGAACTCAGCACTGCCTGACTGTCTTTCATTATTCTTCTCCCACACACCTTCCACTCCAGGTAGGCCAGCCTCCTCTCTACAACAGGGTCCCCACCCCCATGCTTTTCTTCCTACCACTCTGCCCCTCTGTAAAAACTTTCTCTGAGTTCTGTTGCTCACATCAGCTTCCTCTAAATCCTAATGGGATGCACTGAGATGTGATCTTATTTTTGTTACCATGCATTTTACCTTTACAAATAGAATATGAGCTCAAAGACAACACACAACTTTATTGACAAAAAGCGAGTCTTAGATTAACAAATGCAAATCAATACAAAAGTGCAGCTTATTCATGATGTATATTTTGTTCAATGTCCGTTTAGATAGAGTAAAAAATATCTCAAGTCTAGGTAGCAATAATAAATCAATCAATAAATGTTTTCTTTGTACAAGCACTAATATTCATTTTTCATCTTTAAAATGGTACAGCCCAAACATAACCTTGACAACCAGCATCACTGTAGATGAGCTATGTTATTCATTATTCAAAAATGGCAGCTGGGAAGATCTCTGACCTATGAGCATATTGAATAATAAAGAATTTACAAAATGCATTGTTGCCAAATGCAAACTAAAAAAAAAGTCTCCCTACTGCCAGGGACAAACTCCCACTTAGAGTTTGGTCAATACTTTTAGGACTTTTACTTTCACCACCAGATCTTTGTGATTTATTAATGCTTTGATTTTCTTAACACATACTCCAGATTCTTTGAATAAGAAAAAAAGTGAACTTCTGCTGAATTCTCTTTTGGATGATGCAAACCCTTCACTTTTTATGTTGTCATTTATGTTCTCAAATATGGTAAGGATATTAAGAAGAATCTCTCTATCTCGTTCTTTATTAAAGAGAGAAATCAACTCCGATGGTACTTTACTACCAAGCAATTCTTTTGTCATGGCTGGGTTTTCAGTAAAGTTTATAATTAATTTCATAGTCTGTATCTTGGTAAAGTGATTTCCCAGAAATAACAAAGAAAAAAAGTCTGGAAAAGAATAGGAAAGCAAATGTTGGTAATGATTAGTCACTGTCATGTTGGTTAACAGTCTTAATCCAGCCATCTGCACAGCTGAATCCAAGCGACAGATCATAGTGTCATCACAAACTTGACTGATATACGTCTTAATTTTGCCTTGATTTTCAGAAATCACACTCAAGTTATTAAGAGCATTGTAAGCCTTTTCCCTAATAATAGGGTCCTTTGTTTTTATCATTTTTGCAATAATCGGAACACCACCCAGTTCACGAATGGCATTTTGGTTAAACGTATATGCTGCATTGTTACCCAGAGTGACCAAAGCTACCTCTTGAATAAAAGGATCATTGGATCGCTCCAGGATGTTAAGGACTTTTTGAAGATCAGCAGCACCCAGAATATCATCAATTTTATAGGGAAAGTTGAACTTAATCCTGCGGACAGGATATGCTGCAGGTGGAGGCCTAGCGTTCTTGTTTTTGGACTTTCCCTTGGGTTTTCCACTTGATTTACTCCCACCTCTAGCCCTACCAGGATGACAGCCTCCACCCCTCCCTCCTGGGCATGGTAAACTCTGTACAAGTGATCTGGTCCCAGAGACAGTACCCACCCTGGACCCTTTGCCCATTTTTGCACTTGCCTGTTGTTTCAGAGTGTTGAAAAGTGCCTTGGCTTTGGCCTCTAAGCCACCCCCAATGGGAGCAGCCATATTAGCCTCTGCCTTTAAATTTGAGCCACTCTTGACTCCTAAGTTCACTTCAGCATTAGCTACCGAGTGAGCTTCAACTCTGGCTGCAGCCACTGTCCCAGAATTAGCTTGAGCCCTTTTCTGAGTGTCCATCCTAGTCTCTGTAGCATCATTAGCCTCTTCATCATCATCCCAGATTTTTTCATTCTCATCTCTTCCCCAGGTCAATTTGTATACACAATAGCAAGCGCCAGCCCCAATCACCACCCCAGCAGCCACACAGCCAGCGTCTCGAGTGCGGCCCATGATATAGCTGAGAAGAATTTCTGAACCAGAGATGCAGGCAGGAAAGTCCGGAGCAGGAGTCTTCAGCTTTTGCTGGTAGGCTTTGTTGCAGCTACAGATAAAGTGGAACCTAGAAATAAAGGCAAGATTTGAGGGTTCAGACTTCTCCTTTGGTGCTTTTGCTTTGCAAACAGACTGAACTGCAAAGAAAGTAGTTTGGAGCATGGTATCTAGACCACTCAGTCCTTTCTCCAGGAGCTGATTTTGGAAAGTTTCCCACCTCCAGAGTCTCTAATCTCCCATTCCCTAATTCATCTCAATGTGTTAAATATATGGTATAGTATCTCCTGGAGCCCTGGTGGCATCCTGATCAATGCATAGGTATCCTAAAAGAAAAGTCACTAGCTGCTCTACAGAAGGAAGACATGACATTCTGTTTCCATAAAGACAGCAGCTTTGGAAACCCTATGGGTCTACTCTATCCTGTTCTGTGGGGTTGCAATGAACCAAGGGCAATAAACTTGATTCTGCAATCACCTCCCAAGGAGATCTGGTGTCACAACTGTTAAACATTCAGCTGGTAACTTAAAGAATGATGATTTGAACCCACTGAATAGATTCTATGTGGAGCTTTAGTGGTATAATCTTGTAATGAGTTTCCTGTGGTTGGAATTCACCAGTTCCTCCTCAGAAGAATGAAGGGCAGTCTCCTCCAGTGAAGAGTGACAGCCTTAGAAAGTGATGGAGAGTCACTATGAGTCAAAATCAACTCAATGGCAGTGAGTGAAAGCTGGCTATGTGGTAGAAAAGACTTGATTTTCTGCCCCTATGAGACTGTTCTACGCTGTCATGTATATTACCTATAAATCAAAAGTGACTTGAGAGCAACTAAGACCACAATACACAATCACAAGCAGCTCCCTACCATCCCTGTCCCTCTAGATGTCCAGGAACAGTGGTGCCCTCATTTACACCTACACTAATTCAAGAAGTTTCTTCTTTGTCTTTTCTTATCTTGAAGTGGTCGTGCCAACCTTCAGATGTAGGGAAACTGAGGAGTGTGATGAGCGATCTGGGACAGATGGACCTCACCAGAGTAGGTACACATGTCCCTCTCATGAAACCCAAGCCCTCCTGCTTTGCTAGAAGTTTTCCACCTCCAGTAACTCTCTTCCCAGAGTCACTGCTTTGAATATTCATTCTCTCCCTTTCCTTCCATCTTTTGCTTCACCACTCCCCCAAATTCCTATACATACACCCCCACCCCAACTTTGTGCTCCGCTTCTTACTTCCTCTAAAGATGATGTCACACACCCTATCTTGTTGCAAAATAGGTGGTGGCTAGTAAAAAGTGTCTCAAAGTCTGAGAGAATTGAAATGCATAAGGATCTCCAACTTTGCTCTTGCCTCGGCCCCTTCACTATTTCAGTTGTACCAGGACAATCCCTGGTTCCACTATCCCCACTTGTACTGCTCTGGAGTAATTTCATTCTTCGTTCACCTCTATTTCTGCCTCCACCAAGCTGGAGGGCTGGCCACTGGAACCGAGCAATTGGTGGGTGGACCAACACCAAGGGCATTGAGTACTATTCAGAATAATGTCCTCCCCACCTACACTGTGGGACTATTCTGAATCCTTCCTATTCCAACTACTTCCGTCTGTCTCTTGTAACTGCAGAGTCTCTTCTTTTCCTAGCATCAAAACGGTGTTTAGAGAGGAGGAAGAAATAAAATCACGACCATTCCCCACTTCGCCAAGTTTACCACCTCCACCATCCTTCACCCCAGGAGACCGAAGTAAAACCACAACGCTCACTCTCACCTCCTTGATTTTGGACGGTTTTCTTTTTCTTCTTGCGACTAGGCTTCTGCTTCTCTGTACAGATTGGACTTCAGGAGAAAGATCCACAGTCAGAGACAGACGTTACCGCAGGGACAGAAGACTCCGCTGACAGAAACAGCACTTGAGAATCCCAATTACCTGTTTTTCAGAAATCGAGGTTCTGGTGGTCAGAGAAATTCCACCTTTCTGTCTCTCACCCTAACCTGACTCCTTAGAACTTCTAGCACCACTATTTTTCCTTTCGAGCTTCCACTCGCTCCTTACTCTCTCAACTCCATCCCCACCCCCAGCAGCCAGCCATTTTCCCAGCAAAAACCACACCTCTTTCCAACCACTAAGAAGGGGGCGGGCTGCACCAGGGAGTAAGGAAAACCCGAGGAGTTAGTTGGAAAGGAAATCAATCTCTTCAGTTCCCCACCCCAATCTATTCCCATCCTGAATAGTAGCCATTTTCCCTGTAAATGCTACCAGATCCTTCTTCCTGTATAAAACGGAAAGGAGATAGCTGGAGAGTCAGGAATGGACCCATACTCCTGTTTCTTTTGGGGAGCTCAGGGTTATTCCACCTTTGCACTGACTTGCAAGTTTTCGGGACGGTGTCTTTACTTCCAAGCTACCATACCCTACTGTAAGACGAAGAAGGAGAATGATAGACAAAATTCTGATTTCGTGGATGGACCAGCACACAGGACACTAATTTTAATACCTGCTCTTCCTGATTTAACATTCTGGATGCCAAAGTGTACCCTTCTAGTGTGGAGCCTCCCCTGGAATAGGGGCCCTAAAATCCACCATTTTGATTTTAGAAACGGATTGATATAATGCAAGGAGCAGAAAAAGCAGACCTTATCTCCTTAGGTATTCAACCTCCACTACTCACACTGCAGAAGTCCCCAAACCTCACCCATTTACACACAGACCTGCTGAGTTGGGGCAGACACCTCCTCCTTCCCAGGAACGCAGGCTACCCAACCCTCAAGGCAATAAGGAGATGGAACAGTACCAAACAAAGCCCAGAGGCCCAGGATTAGGACTTCTGCACTCGGTGGCTCCAGCTCACGTGAGCATCATGTCACCAATGAGCTCAGAATCCCAATTACCACTCCCACTTGCAGTGCGGCAACAGCCAGCCCTTCCCTTGCCTTGCCTGCAAAGCGAATCCGGTCATTCATTTTACTCTTTACCAACCCCAGTGACCAGAAGTAGCCCCCTTCTCCCTGTGAATGGAATTTTCCTTTCTTTGGTTGACGGAAAGAAGCTACATTTGTTTCTACGATCACTGACCTTTTCTTACTCTTTCAGAATGTTCACAACCCAGGAATAATTGCTTTGTGATAGTCTATCTAGATTTTTAAATTTTATATGTTCCATTTATATTTTGATAGATATGTTTCAACAATTTAGAAGTAATTTTGAAAATTGTAAAAATACTGATTTCCTCTATAAAGATATTATCTGTTATTCTGTCTCTTTGATCTATCCAGTTGAATAGAACAAAAGATGACGATTTGAAAAGAAAAAAAATTTCCCTCATCTCTGCTCCCTGTCAAAGCCTCCTACCCCTTTACTCAGTCATAAAGTTCAACTTTCCCCATCCTCAACCACACCCCTGCAGGAGATTGAAGGGATAGAAAGAATCTCAGAAGAGGAGATGAACAGTAAAAATTAGTATCTTACTTTACTAACAAATACTTATATTATTTTAAAAAATCAATATAAATGGCTTTAATATTGTGAAAATAAAATAATGTTATTTTCATTACTGGGGAAAAGGATTTACATTTGATGGGAAAACCCAAAAGACTTCATTCATTTTAATGTATTTATTTGTATCACAAGGAAAGTGGTTCTATTGCTTACAGCTAACAGTAGCATTCAAAACACTTACTTCTTGTTCTTATGTGCCTTTAACTCAGAACTTACTCATAGTTGACCCTCCAACAGGTTTGCAGAGGCTGTAAAATGCGAAGGAGGAAATTGCCCATTTTCTTCCACAAGAAGGTGGATTCAAACTGTCTGCCTTTGGGTTGGCAGTGAAGCACTTTGCTCACCAGAACACCAGTTGTTGTTGTTGTTGATTGCCTTTGACTCATAGCGACCCTATGAACAAAAGACCTGAAGCCCCTCTACAACTGTTGACATTTATCAAAGTTCACAGAGTTTCCGGAGGCCTGTTGTTTAGGAAGTGGATACCACTCCTGTTCCCAAGTACACCAGAGTTCCCTTAAAACATATTTCTTTTTCAATAGAAAGCTCGAATTTCCTCCATCTCCAAAAGACGAGGGAGGATAGGAAAAAAGTGGACAGATAGTGAATACTGTCATGGGCTCTAGTGTGTCAAGAAATGTAAAGATGGCACAGGAAAGGACAGGGCCCAGATCTGTTGTTCCTAGGGTCTCTCTGAATCATACTCAACTCGACAGCACCTAACAACAACACCACGAAGTGATTGAAAGTACTGTGGTTAAAGCCAGGCACACTTTAGTCCTCAGGGGGTTTTTCCACTTTAAAGGTGTCTTTTGCAACAAATATGCCCAAGGCAATACATTGTTTGATTCTTAACTGTTACTTCCATGGAGGTTGATTGTGGATCCAAGTAAAATAATTTCAATTCACAGCAGTCCTATAGGACAGAGTAGAACTGTCCCATAGAGTTTCCAAGGCTATAAATCTTTAAAGATGCTGGCCGCCACATTTTTCTGCCTTGGAGAGATTGGTGGAAAGCATTTTAACCTCGATTCCACCAGAGTGCTGAAGACAATGTATACTAGTGACAAAAATATTCAAATATTATCATATGTAAAGTGTAATGGCAAAGAAGCCTGAAATACCTTTTCTATTCCGAGCCACTTCTAATAATTTTCATTTTACCACTTCCTAAACAACTTGCTTCTGGAAACTCTATGAAATTTGATAAATGATGATAGTGACAGAAAGGCTTCAGGCCTTTTGTTCATAGGGTCACTATGAGTCATACTTGACTCAACTACAATCAACACCACCACCACAATATATTACTAAGAGCATCTCTGCTTATTAGTCAAATTCCAAATTGAAAAACAAGTGGCCCTGGGTCTTTAACCCCTTATTGATAGGAATTTTTATGTATCAACATCATCTCTTGTTTTCAGCCTCTCCTTGCTGATCATGGTGTACAAAGGTGTCTCCCAGAGTGAAT